TAAATTTTAGTGCATCCAAGATTTTGTCAACTTACCTTGGCTATAGCAGTTTGTAAACTCTGTTTTTCTTGGCTTTAAAAAAAAGGGGGGGGGGCTTTGTTTTTTTCATTCCACAAATCTCAATTGAGTGCCTACTGTGTGCCGCTCCTTCCAGGGCCTGTGTGGATGCATTGGTCAGCACAACCTTCACAGAGCTTCCAGACAGATCCTAGCTAGATCCCCGTCCATCTGCTTGCTTTGTCACTAAGCGGAGGGCAGGCCAAGGGGCCAGAAGCCCGTGAATCGCTCCGTGCTGTACTGTCAAACTTTATTTTGTTTCACTTTCCATGGTGAAGCAGTAGACCTGAATCCCATCTCTGGCTCTACCACTTACCACCTTTGTGACCTTAGAACTCCACCTGAAGACAGACACTAGCTGTGAGTTCCTTCTCTCTCATGAAGGAGAGAGAAGTCCTCCCTTGATGGGGTTGTTTTCATGCAATGATGTAAATCAGAAAGCTTAACTACCAGGTATCCCATATGGTTGGTACTTAATAAATGATAATTGAGCCTGAATGATGATTCCTGCCATTTTGGTGAGGTTTTGGTTAAGAGAAAGAAGCAAAAAGACACTGAAAGCCCCAGGAGCTCTGACCCCACAGTTGCTGGAAGTTGGGACATCTTTGATTTCTTTGTTCTCTCTAATTTCAAAGCGTGGGCTCTGAGACAAGCAGGTCAGACCTGGTTGGGGCCTCCTGGTTGCCCCACATATTACTTATGGGCTCCTGGGCAGGTTACTTAACCCTCAGAGTCTCAGCTCCCCATTTGCAAAATTAGGAGGACAGTTATACACCATAGGTTGCTGTCAGGATTAGATGAGGTCATGTGTTTTTGATATTTAATAAGGAGATAGTGCCCCCAAAATAAGTATACAATAGTCATTAGCTCCTTTTACTATTCTCTTCATTTTTGTCACTGCTATCCTCATTATAATTATAGGCCTAAGAGATTTCCTCAGGCACAGACCTTGGTGAAGATGTCACCTTGGTCTCCATGCCTTTTGTAGGGGAGATACAGAAACTCTCTAAAACTATTTAAGGGCGCCTGGGTGGCTCAGTTGGTTAAGCTACTGCCTTCGGCTCAGGTCATGATCCTGGAGTCCCTGGATCGAGTCCTACATCGGGCTCCCTGCTCGGCAGGGAGTCTGCTTCTCCCTCTGACCCTAACCCCTCTCATGTGCTCTCCCTCATTCTCTCTCTCTCAAATAAATAAATCTTTAAAAAAAAAAAAACTATTTAAAATTTTCTTTGCAGCCAAGAGCATCTTATTCTTCTAATATGCCTAAATATTAGGCATAGAATAATCCAGAAATCAGTAATAGAAAATGTGATTTAGTAGACACAGGATTTCTAGAAGCGTAGCAGTTTAATTAGATGACACAGATGATCTAGGTGCATTATAAAGCATTTCATTCTATGTCTCTTATCCTTCGAGTTATTTCTGCTCATTTTTTAAAATACTATTTTTGTCCCCTTTATAGGTAAACCCGTCTAATCACAGACTTCTGTTTGAAGTATTTGATGAAAACAGATTGGTAAGTGGGTCCCAGTTCTTGATTTTTTGCTTCATTTTTTAAAAACTGAATTTTAAAGCAGCATCTTTCAGAACTCTGTTATCTGTGTTGTACTTCTGCTAGTACATATGCTCCCCCCCAAGATTTTTTTTGCCTATTACTAGTTTATGATTCTAACAAATATATCTGTATGGATAGGACAGAAATTTTATTTGTATATGTGTATGTTTTCATCATAGTCAAGAGTAGTGACAATCACACTAGTGATATATCAAGCCATACGCCTCTGCTCTTATGTTGGGAGTATGCAGTGGCAAGCAAACCTTTAAAGAGGCCATCACTCATGTAAACAAACCTTAATACAAGCCAGAATACAGTCCTTTCACCCATTCGGTCGTGAATCTGTGGTGATTCTCTTTGGGAAAACAAAAAACTAATTAACGGTATATAGCAAAAAGTGAATCTATATTTAGCAGGCAAAATTAAGCTGTATTTTAAAAGTGGTACTTTCTCAAGGGAAGTTTGTAGAAAGTACCTTTAAAGAACCAAAGATATGCCTGAGGCATAAAACTCATAGAAACATTTTATATATACGTTGATAGATAAGATGTGGGCATGTTACATATCTGTCTGTCTATATAATACATATGACTAAGATTTCATTTTAAAAATGGAATTTCAGCATCACATCTGGCTTTAAAGCATTTTGGCAGAATCAGCTAACTAGAGTGTATTCATCAGGTACCCACAAACCAAGTGTTCCAGCTATGCATGTGAACATTATTATGTTCTGTGTAAGCCTTTAAGGAACTCTCAGAAGTGGTATTAAAACTCTCAAGTTTTCTGTTGTTAGTTGTATCCAGATTTACTTTCCATGAAACTTGTGTATATTTCTTGGTTAAAAGGAGTGTTCTTATTAAGGAAAAAAAAAAAAAGAAATAGGCAAACCATAAAATAGACTCTTAATGATAGAGAACAAACTGAGGGTTGCTGTAGGGGAGGTGGGTGGGGGAGGGTCTAGATGGCGGATGAGCATTAAGGAGGGCACTTGATGTAATGAGCACTTGGCGTTATACGTAAGTGATGAATCACTAAATTCTACACCTGAAACTAATATTACCCTATGTTAACTTACTAGACTTTAAATAAAATCTGGAAACAAACAAAAAGGAGTGTTCTTATAAACCCTTCTTGCTGCTGATTTCAGCTGAAACTCCCAAGTCTTTTGAGTAGCTTAAACTTAATAGTTTTGGAGGAGTCTTATAATGCATCTCATTTAACTCTCTGTCCTTGCACGTGAGACAAGGGAGGTCTGGAGCCTTTACATAATTTAAACACAGCACCCGGTGGAATCTGCTGTTCTCTTAAGTCCTCAGGCCAGTGGTGGTGAATAGCCAGGCCTTTTATGCTTATTATAGACCTCGGGAGTGTAGTTAATCTCCTGGGCTTGGTATTATTCTCCAAATTAGAAAGCCAACAGATTCTGGCCTACTGTACCGAAGCCTTTTCTGTAAAAATATACGGGGTCTTGGTGGCTTCACGTTGAACTCAATGTTTTATACCTTGGGTGATAATGAGTAGTACCAAATAACTAAATCACTTCTGTGTGTATGAAGTTATTTTCTTGTTAAATTGAATGAGAGATTCTGATGATGGTGCAGTTCTTAGCACTCCATCTCCTATCCAGCAAATACTGAATCAGGCAGTGTTGAGTAGAGTACAAGTCAGTCCCTGAAGACTCATATACATATACAGACTACATATACATACATATACAAACTAATCCTTATTCTCTCATTTATTGAGTATAACAACACGTTTCCAAGGTGGAGAGGGTCAGATTGAAGGGAAAAATGCCTCTTGTCAGATGTGTTATAATTCATTATTTTCTTTTTACTAAGAGAAATTTGCTGTAAAAAAAATTTTTGTTTCCATTTCTATTACTAAAATATGACTGCTGTTGAGATGACCTCTCCATGGATCCCAAACTAGTCTTCCAAACCCAAAAGGGCTTTGAATGCAGAGCTCTAAGAAATCACGTGTGAATACACACTTTATCTGAAACATTGTGTTTTATGATACTAATACCTAGCTTTGCCCCAGGCTGTTTGCGGACTTTTGTTGTTGTTGTTTAACCAGTCACTGAAAACTGGTGGTGGTGTTTGTTGCTTTGTTGGCTCTTCCTCCAGCTAAGACCATACATGACTACAGTGGTACTTGGCGGTTTGAGCATCTCAACGAACTAGCTTCCATTTCTCTCATGGAGATCAGTTTTGGCATTTAAAACACATGCCTTTGGAAAACCGGTTTGCACGTATGTAAACACGGGGTTAATCCTCCACACCCTCAATTCTAGAGCTGTTGACAAAGTCATCCTTTGTGGATTTTAAAATAAACTTTTTGTCACTCTCTGCAGCTTTTGGTATTTTCCCCTCCCATTTTTTACTCCCTCCTAAATAAGCTTCTGTGTTAAATCACTGATGTTTCTGGATCATGGAAAACCGTAAGCTTGAAACACAGAGACTATATCCAAGTTGACTACAAATCTGATGACAGTTTTTTGAACATGGACCTTTATTACTCGGGTCCTTTTTGGCCCTTCACAAAAATGGTGAGATTCCGTGCTTGTGATAATATTGCTGACTTCTCCCTGGAAAACAGCTCTGGGCAGCCTTCTTTCTGTATGGTATTTAAGTTAACTCACTACGAAAACCACATTCACACCCTTCCTCAATTTTCCTTCCTTTTCTGGTCGGGATTGGGGGGTGGGTGTGGTGATGGGTTTTTCTCCTGTCTGGCATATAGGACAGAATGTTTTCTCCAGCTGGGCTCCTTTTCTCTGGGACTTCCATGTCTGATAGTCGTATTATGAGTGAGATCGCGACACACACACACACCCCATTAAATGAAAAAATATAGTAGTAGGAGGCAGACAGCTCACTGACCCTGTTGTAAGTTGTAACTCCCTGCCCTTAGCTATTTTGTTACTTGTAGATCATGGTCTAATTATTTAGCATTAAAGGGACACTCATTCTGTGGGGTGTGGAATCATATTTATAGTACCTTTTATTAGTTTGCATTCCGTCGTGGTAGTGTGGTGATATCATAAATAACAGAAACATAATATCGGATGCTTGTGAAAGGGTTTTCTTGCAGCCAGAGCATTTTTCCTTGTCGTTCTTTGGTTTGCTAGGGGAGGCGGGGGAAATACGGTGTGTGCGCATGTGTTCAATGCCTGCTCTCCGGCATTGGTTAGAGAGTCCAAGGGCCCTGCCTCGTTCGGAAAGAACTGTCCCGTGAATTTGATGCGGGCTAGATTTATAGCAGCATGGCTTGGACTGTGTTTGCTGCCTTAGTCAGCTGTGAGAGCTCCCTGCTGGGGCCACTCCTGTCTGATGGAAAAGCAGCAGCTGGGAAGGTGCTGTTTCAGGCTCTTGCTGTGTAAAAAAAAAAAAAAAAAAAAACTGAGAGCGCGAGAGGGGGGAAAACTCCAGTAAGTGCACAAGCTGGCCTTGGAGGGGGAGACGGCGGTCATGTGGTTCTGGCCATCCTACCCTCTGTCACAGTGCGGATGAGAGCTTTTTGCTCTTACCCAATCATGCCTGGAATGCCGCTTGCCACTTGGGTTATTTCTGCTATCTGTCGCTCCTGGTGCCGCAGTGCTAACGCTTTGGCAGATGGGACACTTTTTCTTGGAGTTTGTGTCTTCGGTTTTTGACTGCTGGCAGTGCCGGGCTCGTTGTCGCCGCTCACCCTCTCCCTCCCTGCCCCCCTGGGCACCATGGCCCATCGGCTTCGGTTTCATTTTGGCTCTGGGCGCAGCAACACAGCCCCTGAGTCCGAGATCCTAGACCAGGAGAGGGAAGAGGACTTTTTCATGGCATTCCACACGCTGCCGCGGAGGAGTGGCCCGCACCCCTTCGCCCCGCAGGGCGCGGAGGACCGCGGTGGCCTGCAGGAGGCCGTGGGCGCGCTCAAGCGCAGCACGTCCATGTTCATCCCGCAGCTCCTGGGCCCGCTCGACGCGCGGCCCACCCGCAGCTCATCTGTGCAGATCTCCCTGCAGCGCAAGGCGGCCGACGGGGCCCCCGACGCGGGTGCGCCGCCCAAGGGCCCGGACGGCGACGCGGGCTCGGCATCCCGGGCCGGTGGCCCGGAGCCCCCGGAACCCGAGCCCCCCGGGAGCTCGCCCCCGAGGGCGGCCCGGGCTCCGGGCCCGCAGCTCAACGGCACGTGCGGCCGCCGAGCGCCCGGCCTTGCCGCCTGCGACGGCCGCGAGGAGGCCGAGCCGAGGGCCGCCTGGGGCCCCGAGGGTGGCGGGGCGCTGCGGATCCAGCACCGCGCCTCCAGCGCCGACGTGCGCCAGGTGAGGCTGACGCCCTTCGGGGCCGAAGGCCAGAGCAGCCCTTCGGCGCCGGAGCCCAGGCGCTGGTCCCTGCAGCACGTTCCGGATGCTTCTGGAAGCTCCGGGAAGCGCTGCTTCGTCTTCCAGTTGCAACAGCCGCAACCGGGCGCTCCGGGGCCAGGCGGTGACTTCAACTTCGGTTTCACCGGCACGAAGGGGGACAGGCTGGTGAGGTACCCCCGCATCCGGCTGGAGAGGAGCACCTCGTACCCCACGCAGCCCCGCGCAGAGCGCGGGAGCCCCACGGAAGAGCGGGGCCACCCGGAGACGCCGCCTCGGGGCCGCAGGGGGGCTCCCGAAATCCACAGGACCAACTCGGTGGAAAGGACGCCACAGGGGCAGGGCTGCACGTTTAAGATCAGGCAAGATCAGAATGCGGGGCAGCAGCACTTCAGAATTCTCGTGACTCGGGGGCCGGAAGAAGCCCCCCAGAATCCCGAGGAGAATAACGCCAGCAGCCCTGGTACCACTAGGGTAGCTGGCGCCCCGGTAAGTTGGCGTGCGGTTTGCGTGTGACCGCCGGGTCTGAAGGGACTGAGCCAAGCCCAGAAAGCTGCTTCTGCAGGCTAATTAAAACAAACTTCATCCTCCTCCTTTCTCGGAGTTTCCCTGCTTCAGGCCATTGTAACAATGTCTGGCTGAGTTCTGGGACCGTGATTTGTAGCCCAGTATTTGGTAGAGTCCCATAAAACTAGTGTTTAAGAAGACACTGTGTGTTTAGACCCTAAAAGTCAAATAACTGTTTTGAAGATCAGATGATCCCTGCTCCCTCCTTGTCCCCTTCTGAATAAAAGAATTTTTAAAAATTCATTACTTTGACTTAATCTGCCGGTGCCCCAACATGTTGATCTCAGAAATGCATTTAAGAGCTGCTTGCTTTGATGATGTTTCATTTAAAAATAACCAATTCTCATAAAGGTGAGAGAATGTCACAAAACTTGAGTCTCGTCTCTTAACAATTAAGTGCATGGCAAGTTTGATCAGTTCTTCCTAATGGCCCTTTTGCTGTGGAGGATTGACCCTTGTTATATAATTTATTGTCTTTGGGTTTTTGTCCATTAAGTAATACTGAACAAGAGTGGTCACCCTTGTGGGGCAGTAAGAAATGTATTTTTGAAGCAGATTGGCTTATGGACCAGGGCTAGGCAAAACTGCTTGTTAATGGTCAGATTGCGGAGGTCATGCAACTTAACACTGGCCACTTGAACATCTAACTGGGAGGCTGTATATAGACGAGTAAGTGCCCTGTCTCCAGCTGTGGAAACAGGCACCCTAGGACAGATTTTGGCTTTTATTTCTCCTGTGTTCTTGCTCTCTCCCTCTTGGTGAAATGGAGTACAGAAAGACAGCTGCTAATTTCACCAAGCAAATGATGAGTCTGCATCTTTCATGCCTCATAGTGGGATGAAAAGTTTTATCTGTTAACTTTCTTTTACCTAGTAATTACCAGCCACTGAGGGCTCTATCTAAACACCGAGCGCCTTACATTTTGAAATGGGTTTTTTCCCCCTGGATTTATTTGAAGACCGGTTTGAGGATAGATCGTGAAACATTAAGGGAACTTTTTGTTTGGGTTTTGGTTGTGCCTTGAGACTTTTCAAAGTGGATGACTGAGTATTAGTGTGGAATTGTATCATCTTTTATTGCCGTGTGTTGAGAAAGGTTTTTGGCTGTTCAAGTGAACTTTATCACACTGCTCCATCATTGGTTTGCACCATTTTGAAGGTGTAATCCGATGCTCAATGAAAGTATTGTATCTTTCTTGGTGTTCTATAAATGTTTCTTCTTCTTTCTTTTCCATGCATCCTTTTATTATCACTAACCTTTTTTTTTAGGAAATGTCTGAGTGCTTTGTCTTGATCTGAACCGGTATATCATTTTTATATAATAGTACAAATTTCAGTAGAATTTTGATATTATATTAGTTCTAACCTTCGCCCCCAAGAAAGTACATCACAACAGTTACAGGCTTCATTGGGTAAGACAATTTCTTGCTGAACTTGGACCGCCTACCAGCTGAGGTTTCATAAACAAAATGCGTTCCTAAAGTTTTGGTAACTACTCAATGCTATTACCAAAAACTTGTCATTTTGCAGTTAGATGTTGAAGACAGATGTGTTTATATAACTAACGTCTCATTTGGCTTGAAATTTCTAATGTAATTAGGAAACAAACAGGATATACTAAAACTGGTACGTACTTAGATACAAGGGCTATTCTCAATTGAAAGGACTGTGAGAGCAGGAAACAAGTATCTTCCAATTTGGAAATTTAAGGTCTAGAATAAAGAGCCTTTCTTGAGAATAAGTTCTCTGGTGCGAATTTCATAGGTGTAGTTCTCCTATGTGAATTTTGATACACCTGTGATATTTTTGTTCATGGACATAAATTCATAAATGGTTGGTAATCAGCTGGGTTTTTTTTTTTTTTTTTAAGATTTTATTTATTTATTTGACAGAGAGAGACACAGCGAGAGAGGGAACACAAGCAGGGGGAGTGGGAAAGGGAGAAGCAGGCTTCCCGCCGAGCAGGGAGCCCGATGTGGGACTCGATCCCAGGACCCTGGGATCATGACCTGAGCCGAAGGCAGTCGCTTAACCAACTGAGCCACCCAGGCGCCCTACAGCTGGGGTTTTTTTAAAGCAAAAAATTTTTTTCTTTAAGAGGCAAAAACAAAACTCGTCACATCACAGAACCGTCTGCTCCATTCAACACTTTGTACGTGTTTCATATGGGCAGGGGTGTTAAGTCTAGGCGGCAGCTGCCCTGGCCTTATTTATCTTGAGGGAAAACATTCACTGGGGCGTCTACAGTCTGGCTGCCACCAGGCTTTTTTGATGGTTCACATATCTGCTGCTTCAGTCAGAAGGGTACTTCATTATTCGTTCATGTGAAAAATTAATGAAAATTTGTTGCAGCCTGGCTTTTAAATGACATCAGAAATGTTTCTCGATTGGGCAAACCACTCAGGCTTCCTTTTACACATGGGCTTTTCTATTGCACAGTCTCTTCTCTGCCTCAGACCTTATTACAAGGTTACCCTGTTGAGTATTTTTCTGTATCTCAGGCTGCCTCCCAAACATCCTGCTGTGAATAAATCTCAAATGCAACATGACTTCAAAAAATGTCAACCAGCTAGATTCCTGGGGGGAAAAAATACGTTTCCACGCGTTAACCCCCTTTGGTGATGGTTTTCCATCTGGTCTGGCCACCCATTCAGGAAAGCAGAATTGGTTCTTGTCATCCGTTAGGATATTTCAGAAAGGGCTTTAGGACTGAGCAATTCCATTTGTGGCGTTATTAACAGTCATTTCGTGAATGACTTATTTTCTTAGTTTTTGAGGTATTTGGTTTGGTTATGGACTGCTTCACTGTATTTGAGTTTTTCTGAGGAAGTTAGATCACCATTTCCCAGCATCGGTGCCCCCTTTCCAAACAGTCTCAGGGATAATCACTGCTAGGTTCTGCATTTTACAAGCTGAGTTTTCGGATCCCATTAATGTCATGAGGTGTTTCAGGTCCACTGTGTATATAACATTACACTGGATACTTGGAAGGTTTCTGGGGCTGTCTTCAGTTGCTTGCTGACAAAGTTTGTAATGTAAACAGAGGGGGAGGAGGGCCCGTGGGGGCAAAAACAGGTAGTCTCCCACCCACTACATATACCAATAGGGAAGGGAGTGTTTCTCCTTTACTGTTACCCTAGGTTCTCTGCATTTTCCCTGTGTCCTCTCAGTGGACATCCACTTTGCCGAAGTAGTATACTCATCTCTTGGGATTAAAAATTTATTTTACTAAACAAAAGAATACCCAAACTCTTTTTATTTGGAGGGGATTTTAATTTGAATCTCTTTTAGAGACGATGATTTTACTGTACAGAAAAACCTTGACACGAGTACTAACTGGTGTCGCTTTTTTACCCTAAAAAAATAATTCTCTGAATATATGTATAAACCACCCCTTTGTTTAAAAAACACACCAACAGCCGTGTGATGAATAAGAAAAGTATTTCTTTCATTCACTGGGTTTCTGATTGGATTCTCTAAACTTTATTTTCCCTTGAATATAGTAACAACCTCTTAATGCGATCGTGTGAGAATATTCCAATACTATGTAACAAAATTTCAGCTATTTCCATGGATGCTTTGATTCGGCATTGCTCAGGGTTGACACGGATAGGAGTTGTTTTTTTTACAAAGTCTCTCTCTAGTACTTCACCATTTGAAGGATGCCTTCATTTATTTCACTTGGTCCCTGTAACTAACATCCCATTGCGAAGGCATTGCCTCACTCAGCCTTGCTTGCTATCCTGCAAAATAGTGCTATTTTTCTATTTCCAATGAAGGTACATGGTAGCTTCATTAGATGTGGGAACTAGCATATTCTATCACTTTGTGTGTGCCTAATGGGAATTTTAAAAATATCTTTAAAAGTCTGTGTAGCCAAAAAGCAGTTAAATGCTTCCAGTGATGTGACATTTTTGCTGAAATTTTTGAAGATGGTACCTCCAGTTGGTGCTTTGCAGCTTAACAGGGCCGGGGGCTGGGGGGGGGGGGCAGTTTTGGAGACCCGCAGAGGCAGCTGGGCAATTTACTGACATGTCTCAGGGGAGTTAGAAGCCTTCTCTGAGCTTATTCTTAAGTGAAAAATGAGGATAAAAATCTCCAGCTCTCCCAGGTTTCTGGTGAGGTTTAAATGAGGGAACATATGTGGAAGTACCTGATTAGTGTTGGTGTTGGGGTTTTTTCCTTCTTAACCGAATAGTTGTAATATACAAATCTTTCTTTGAGGAAGGTAATCAAGTTAACTCTGAACATCAGTTTTGGATCAGCATCAGGCATAGCATGGATTTAAGGCATACCTGGAAGTATTTAATAACTAGCTTTGATATCTCATCTGTCCTAAGTCTGGCTGTTGGATAATCAGCATCACAGATCCCAAACACCACCTGTGATGATCGGTCCTTAAAAAGACTCAAATTCATTGGTGAGCTATGGATTGTAGAAAAGGATCTTTAATTGTATTTGCTGTATTGAATTTTGAAACTTTGAAACTTATATTTTTACCAAATCATTTTGCTGTAACATTTCCATTGGTTACGTTTACGTTTCCCTCTTACAGGTTGAGGCTTTTGAGCAGCAATCTCATGTTATCTGTACAAGATCTCCACATTGTGTGATTGGCAAATGAGGGTAGTATTTGTGCCTTATCAGATACTGCCTTTTGGAGGGTTTTCATAAATGCCGCAACTGCTGCTCTTGGCCAAGCCTGGAGCCAGAGTTCCTAGGCATTGAAATTAATCTATAATTTTGTAACACATGTTAATAAGAAAGTTGTTATTGCTACATAAAAGTTCACAATACCAGAGGAAATTGACTCCATGTAAGAATTCTCTTAAAATTTAATAAATGTTGGGTGTCTGTATAGTTGATGGTTTAAAACTAATTGAGGCTAATCTGAATGTTAATGTATTTGTATAACTGGAGATA